TATATACATATATCGCAATATATTGAAAATATTACTATAAAATATTACAAAAATATTACAAAAATATTACTGACATATTACACATTTATAATAATATTGAAATAATACAGTTACATTGTTGCAACATATCACATTCTAAATAGCAAGGTGACGTCAAATGATATTTTAATTTATCGTCTTATTGACGTTAGAGACGTCGTTAAGACATTATGCAGATGTTATTTGATGCCACCTTGCTACTTGGGATGTTATAAATCGCATTGAAGTAACGTACGAATATTATATTATAAAAAATTCAATAAATACAAAATTGAAGACAGTATAAACGAGATTTTTTATATTAAAAGTTTATAACGGAAAAAATTATAAAATGCGTTCTAATTTGAAAAATTGCGAATAATATTATTCTGTATAACTTATACTAAAATAATTTTTATCCTTTCTGCAAAATGACTACGTATTATTTTTTTGAGATATAAAAATTAATAATAATATTGTTATATTACAAATATTTATTTGGAAAGTTTCTAAAGCTTAAATGTCTGTACTCTGATTTATTCATTATTTGAGTAATATTATTCATTTGATGTATCTTTAAGAATAATCTATGTGTTACAGTAAATTAATTTATTGTTTAATTATCACATTTATTTTTATAATAATTTGACAAGTTATCGCCAAAAAACATCTGTTACAATACTTTTTTTTAAATCTAATTTTTGCATATTTAATATTAAGCAGTAACATTGCTCGTAAATATATTTGAAATAAAATATGCAAAAACTATTTTCCAATTGTAAGAATCAAGGGAACAATAATGCCATTTATTATTATTTATAATATAAATATCGATAAGTTTCTCTCATTTCATAACAAAAGAGAGCTCATCTCGTAAGAATCGTGCATAATACTTTCGGAACCACATGCAGGAAGTTGATTCTTGGAGAGCAGCTTGCACGTGTACGCGTATAACTCCGATTGGAGCACATATTTGATACGAACTCACCAAGTTCCCCATCAACGGATACATCGGCACCAAAATGTTTTCCCAAAAAAGTACTACCGTCCTCTAAAAGAAGGTAGCTATCACTCGAGCCATTGGGCTCAATGGATGCGTAACTGGGCATTTTTAATTTTTGTCGCGTGTTTTCTACGCACGTGCTGCCGACACACTGTGTGCGTCGCGAGCCGGGAACACGTTTTTAGTATATTAAGCGTTCAATGGCTGCCCCTACAAAGCGATATGCGCGCCGTTAAAGAGCTAAAATATGTGTGTGTGTGTAACCAATTGGCATGCAACGTTCCCGCTTTGCTGCGCACAAGTTACAGCGCAAATCATGTGACAAGATTCACTGCACAATCATTGGTTGCTTCGCGTTAAATAGCATAACGTCATACACGTTGTTACATTGGCGGGAAGACTAAGGCTGCGTTCCGATATTCACTGCCAGTATTGAAAATATATAGTTCACGTCACGTGCACTATAGATTTTCAGTACTGGCAGTAAATATCGGAACGTAGCCTAATTTTATTGGTCAATACGTATATATATATATATATATATATATTTCTTCAAACAACATTTTATTGTTTACTAGTTTTAATTTTAATTTGCAATTTTAGAATATTTATTTAAAAGTTTGTATATATAGAAAATCTATTTCATGTTATGGGATATTTTTGTATATGCTAAAAAAAAATATACCATGTACATAGGAATAAACATACTATAATGAAAAAATATAGTATACGCAATACAACTATTCCAAATTGAAAAATGTTATTATTAATGATTATTAAATATATCAAATTTTGTTATTATGCGTGTGTGCATACACGCATAATAAAAAATATTGTGTGCTGGATATCAATTTTTTCAGCAAATTTGTTTGCTCAAATTTTTCTACATAATTAATAAGTTTTATTACTACACACACATATGTATGCAACATGAAAGTATGCTCGAGATATATACATATATATATATATATTCTTGGGAAGGTTTAATATGTAAACAATCTTACAAATATTTATATATATAATTAATATCATAATTACTAATAATAAACTAACGATATAATACTTAATTAGATATAAAACAACTATGTATACATATGGTAAAGAATAAATGTAGGGCAAAAAAATAAATTAAAAAGTTATGCCACAGTAATACAAAAAGAATTTTTGTTTTAAATTAAGAAAGAAGATATTTACACTTGTAGAAGAGAATAGAAACGATTGCACATTCCGGTGATTAATGAAAGATAAATTTTTATCTGCCGACACTACTGATAACAGTAACATGTACTCATACAAAATAGATATGATTGAATCTATCAGCATATAACAACATCGTATAATATAATAATTTCTAACTTTTCAATATATAAGTCACAATTTTGGAATGCGCGCGATGGACATTTCTTTTCCTTTTGCCCAATTTTTTCTCAAGAATATATTTCGTTCACAAAAAAATATTTAACAGATAATGCTTATCTGAGTAATTCAATTAAAGCTCTCAACTAATGGTAGATTTAATCCAGTCAATATGTGATGAAATTTTGTCGTATAATCGAGGTCTTTCGATGCCATCTTTCGAGCAAGCTATTCTCCAGTTACCAATACCAGTCAATGCCCATCTTCGACTATCCGCTTGAAAACACAGCATTGGACTGCCGGCGAGTTCTTCCTCCTGTTAAAATTTAATAATGTAAAATGCTACTTTATACTATTTATTAAAATTTTCATTTTTTCAATTTTTATTTTTTAGATTCTGTTGTTTAAACTTTATTGATATTTGGAATCTATAACGTAAAATAATTTTCGCTAAAAGTGCGGAAAAAAAAATAGAAAAAATTTAAAAGCGCGGATTATGTAAATAATAATAATTTTTTGCTTACATTGCAATCATCCGTGGAATATGCTTGCTCAGTGCAAACGCTATTCACCGAGGGGATACTAATATTTTCGCACTTTTCCATTGCACTATGTTTCAACTGTACTCTTTGCAGTAAATCACCTGTTTAAAAAAAAAAGGAAAGATTCTATATATTTATTTCAAAAATGTTTTGTGCCTTTCAAATAATTAAAGAGATAATGAAAATATATACATGTATATATAATAAAATTAAAAATAAATACATTCTATATATTTTTTTAATTAATTTATAATTTGATAACAAAAGAATTTTAATCAGGTTCTTTATTCGTTGTCGGAGTGATATGTACATATTTCAGAGTGTAAATATATAATAATATTATCAAAATATATCACAATAATATTAAGTTGATTCTTTTAAAATTTCTTTTTAATATCTGAATTTCTTTTTAATGTTCAAGAATATCAAACATTTTAAACACCTTAAAAAAATTTAAGCAATTATAGGCAATTAACGATTAGTCAACGTACGATTTCTTGCCCAACCCAGAGTGTTGCATTGCGATGTATTGCTCGGTGAGTCTTCGCTGGAGGGTAAACAAACCGGTCTTACAAAATCCGAGAAGGTCGTTACTGGTCTATCCAATTTTACCAAAACAGTTGTGCCTTCCACCGGTGATTTAATCATGCCGACGATTCTGCGTTCTTGTTGCCAAGGTGATGTACTTGAAAGTCGTACGACACCAAGTTTAGCCAACCACTCTGCTTTGGGTTGACTATAAAAAAAAATCAATAAAATTGGTTAAAATTTAAAAGAATTGATTTTATATATATGTACATATATAAAACGATTTTTTTTTTTAAATATAAAGCAAAAAAATATTTGTAATACAAAAAATTATCTTTTTTATAGATATATTAAACTCACCCTTGGAAGCAATATGCGGTTGTGAGCAACCAATTATCCGCCACGAGAGTAGCATCGCAAACATGAACTCCCTCCTTGAAGAGTGCAACATGCCAAGGCCAGTCACCGGGTTCTGCCATCTTATTAAGACTTTGAGTACCGCCGTTTGCACGTAAAGGTTGTATTCCACACTCTAGTTTCCCAACAGAAAAAAAAATGAAGAATTAATAGAAGTTTATGATAAATAATAAATAGTTATATATGTATACATATATAGTAACGTGCATAATTGCGCGCCAACGTTTATTTAAGATAATATACTTATTATATGTAATATATTAGAAAAATAGAGCAATCGTACCAAGATCGGAACAGCGAACGTACAAGACTTCCTTGCTAGGACAAGGAGCCCTGACAAAAGTGATTTCCGGTGCTGATGGATCTTCCATGTATACATACGGGACATCTTCTTCGTCATCAATTCTTATTTCAACAAGAGCCACGCCACTATTGAAAAAAATCACAGGACATATTAATCTCCAAATTATAAAATTCTTTTTTAAGTATACGTGGAAGATATAAAATATGTAAGTAAATTTTAAATTATAATTATGGATAAATCAAAATTAGAATTCTAAAAGTAGTACTAAATAAAATCGCAAAAGAAGCAAACATATTTAACGACAATTAATTATCTATTCACATTGTTAAGTAATAAAACAAAACAGAAAAAAATATTTTAGTAATTACAAAATAATAAATAGGAAAGATTGTAAAAAAACCAATTGTAAAGAAGCCAATATACTAACTAGATGAGTTTTGCGCTATAAAAGTTATGCAAAGTAAAAATGTAATAAAAATAAAAATTTTGATTAATGAAAAAAATTACCAAAAGGGGCCAATAAAAAATTTTACTTTTATTACACTTTTACCTTAATATTTGCCCTTAGCTTTTTCTATTTCTTCTTTTTGTATTTTGAAAATCAATGATGAAAAAAGTATTTATGGTATTAAAAAATAGACAATAACATATACTTACGTATATGTGAGTAAAGTGCATAATGAGCTCGCTGCTGTTTGAAGAACATTATCCATTTCCGTTTCCGGTAGGGTAGCGTTTAGGTTTGCTGTACAAAGTTTGCCAATAGTACCTTTTTCATTAAATACAACGTAACCCTCTTTGTTGTATTTCGCGACATGAGGTGTGCTCCAGGATTGTGATTTTAATACGTGAACGCTCGGCGCCAGAAGTACTGTAACAAATATGCACAATAATATTTATTTATTTTTTTGATGATTTTTTAAATATTATCTCTGTAAAAGTAAATTAATACATATTTTTTTGTGCGTCTTGTGCTACTTACGACAATCTTTTTCATCGCTGCCATTCGGACAGTCCACATTGCCGTCACATCGTTTTGTATGCGGTATACAGGTTCTTCCTACTCCGCAATGCATGTAACCATCTCGACAATAGGCACAATTCTTTTCATCCGACAGATCCGGACAATCGATCACGCCATCGCAAATTCTCGGAGATAAAGCTTTAGATTGAAGTGCTTGCACACATCCTACACATTAATTCATTCATATTAATTAATTCAAAGGATACTGCATTTAATATTATCTTACGGAAGATAAAGAGAGATTTTGCTTGTAATAATAACAATAATAATATTTTTTGACAGTTAATCATACCTGGCTTCGGTCTGCAACTGCCAGGACCGACATATTCTGGAAAGTTGGAGCAATCCAAGGCGCGTTTTATCTTCTCAGAAAGACGACTGCCACATCCATTCCAAAATTCCCTGCAAAAGCTCCTACAAGGCAACTGTAGCAGATCTTCTGGATGACTCACTTGACACGCAGGCTGCAGTACCTGACAGATAAAGTCGTAGGCCAATGGATAGCATTCCGCGTCCACTAGTTCTCTAATTTCACAATGTACTGATTAGATATTATATAGAGTATGTAATATTATCGTTATCAATTTAAACAAATAATAAAAACACATAAACATAGTATTAAATTTTTTTCTCATCCTTAATAAATTTTTTTTCTTTTTTTAGATTTTAATAAGTTTTTTCGTGGAATTATATTTCCAAAAGCTTAACAGAGTTTATAATCTTTATTATAGTTTCTACATAATTTCTAGAGTATTAAAGTATACATAATTAATGAATGCGATAATTATAAATTTGGTTTCCCTATTTATTCGAGTCCACTATAATCTTATTTAGTTCAAGAGAACATACCTAAAAGCAATAACATCCTCCTCGACATCTGCCAACGATCTATGCTCCAATATATTTGGATACGACGTAATATTATAAGGGAGATGTTTACAATAGGGCAAGTCCAGTTTGTTGCATTTTCTTGGCGGAGGTGCTGTCGTTGTCGGCGGTAACGTCGAGATAGTTGATTGTGGATTAATTTGCGCGTTCAGGGCCTTCAGACTTTCTTGTACCTCGAGACTCTTCGTCTCTATTGTCAGATTCGCCAGATAGCGCGAAGTTTCGGGATTTAATTCTCGTGACAGAATGTCTACGATATTTCCAGTAGTTATAGTCTGATATCGTGGATCAAACCTAATATCGAAATGCACCACCAAATCGCGTCCTTCCACCCTATAAATAATAATTATATTACATGTATACAAAATTAAAATATACAAAATTTTAAGGTTTATTAGCAATCAAAATTATTATTTTAATCTCTTTAAGAAAACCACATGATTGTACTCGTAAAATATCCAATATTTTTTTATAAGGGCTTGTATTAAATATTATATTAATTTATTTAAAAAGTTGTCATTGTTTTTAGAAATTTGTCGAGAAAGAGATTAAATTTATAATTTACTTATAATTTTAGATTTCCGAATACAAGCGATTCTATAGTAGTGCAACTTTTTTCCGTGGGTGGCCGTTAACCCGTAATAAATCGATGCAATTTACAAGCTCGAGCACGATATTATTGATGAATAATACATTATTGATGAAAATAGCCGCAGTAACATCTCATTGCGCGCTGAGAGCAACAAGTGTCATGAAACCACGCTCACTAGAAAGTTACAAAGCGATATCGTCCGATTTCTCTCCCGCTTACAGCCCCGAGCTGTTTTCATCGGTTTCGATTATATCTCGGCTAGCCTTTTCCTTCTATATAAGAACCAACTTTTCGAGACGAATAGATAGACCAATCATATTTATGGTGTTTTATAATTAGCTAATTTTCTGCTTTTACACGACATGCTCCACATTGAATGTTATTGCATAATTTGTTTTGCGAATAACTTTTTGTACTAATATCTTTACGTGTGTCTCATTGGCCAGTGTGAAGCAGTGACAAGCGAATGTAAGAGTTAAATAATCGACTGCCCTATCAATTGTAATAATAAAATTTCATTACCCGTCAAGCGCCAAAACATCTGCTGTAAGAAACGATAATTTCAACCAGCTGCGGCGAAAGATAAGATTAAAGCGATCGCGGTATTCTCGTGATCGTATCCGGAAAGTCTCAGTAGAAGGATCTGCAAGTTCCGCGGTGAAAGAGTCACCTTTGATAACACGGAATGTTGCGAGAAATATCTGATCACCCGGTGGATCCGAAGTGAGGAACGTGTCTAAAATAAAAACACATATTTAATGTTAATTATTATTTATCAGTTATATAATCTGTAAAAAAGAGTGGACAATAGTTAATAATAATAAACAAAATAGTAATAGTACGAAAATATATATATATATATTGTACATTCAAATGTCAGATAAAAATTTCGATAGAAGAAAATAAAAGAGTCAAAATAATACACTATTTTGTATATGACAATAAAAAGATACTGTATAAAAATATTTTAGAAAGTAAATATATATCAAAATTAAAGAGGATATAAAAATGCTACAAATATATTAGTTTAATGATTAATGAATTAAATGTGTGTCGAGTTTCTTCGTGATACAATTTTATCGGTCTTTGCGCATCGTTCATATTAATAAATGCATTACTCCACAAGTCATATTAATCAAAATAACAAGTTTGCATAAAATTGATTATGCTGTAGATATAATAAAAAAGCTGATGTATATTATCAATCTATAAAAATTATGATGGAATCCCTTTTATCGTGAACACAACGTGTAATAAATGAATATCATTTCTTCATTGTTCCATTATATGTTGTGCTAGTGATCTTTGTGTGACACCTTGTATTTTGTTTATGAAAATTATAACAAGATACGAGAAACTCTATAATAATTTGTTGATAATAGATTCATTAAAGGTTTTGCGAACCGTCTTAATCAATCAAAGTAAACAAGAAAAAATTTAGAACGTTATATTTTCGCGTAGTATATCTTACTATAATTTGCAATATATCACAAACTAGCTTTCTAATGTATGCGCGATCCACACATGATATAGTCAAGCGTGTAGAACGTGCTAACAATTTTAAAAAGGGTTTCGCTCCTCAGGCGCTGTCATTATGGTCAGTGCGGTCAATTTTCCGCGCGCTAGGCAAAACGAGACAAATCGGGAGAACGCAATTGCCTGTAGGGACCTCGGTTATATACGTACTAAAAATCACATTTTACCGGACTTCTCCATCTAACGTGGTTTGCTCAACAAGAAAATATATACATATGTACATATTTTTTTATACAGGTTTTAACAGTCAAATTGTAGCCATACGTTTAATGGGTAAAAAGAAATATTTTATATACATAAGTATATAAGTACGTATATATATGTATAATATAATTCATTATAATCAATATATATATTTTTTTATCTAGTTATCCATATGTATGTGTGTGTGTGTGTGCTGTGTGAAGGCTAGATTTAAAAAATGTCTACTATATATTAATAAAAGATATAAGCCAATAAAATAATAAGTACAGACTCTATATCTCAGATAAATAAATTTATTTAAAAGATATAAGATTTGTAAAAAAGACAAGTTTTTCATTAATTGGAGAAAAAATGAATATTTCATTTTTTCAATGCATAAGAGATAGAAAAGTCATTCTTCAATACGGTCCTCAATTGTCCGGCATTATAATGTAAAATTCATATTTGCAGAATAGTGTCACGGGATCAAAATGCTTCAAGGACACGGATCCCCACTTTTAAGGTCGAGTGCTGGATTGGGCATATATCTATCAACTAAACAACTCGGTCAGACCGTTATACGTTTACCAGCTGGAAAGCCTTCAATGGACTGGCACGCGCGCCTTCATGCAATATCTTCCATGACCTCTTATTCTTTTCACTCGTAAACACGAATTTAAGCAGCATAGAAATTACTGAGCTCGTGCTGCTCGCTGTATCATATGTGAATGTATAATATATACATATGTGTTACTCATCTACTAACTAACTAACTAATTAAGTTTAAGCACGATGTAAATCATTTTTAATGGCATATATCTATCAACTAAACAACTCGGTCAGACCGTTATACGTTTACCAGCTGGAAAGCCTTCAATGGACTGGCACGCGCGCCTTCATGCAATATCTTCCATGACCTCTTATTCTTTTCACTCGTAAACACGAATTTAAGCAGCATAGAAATTACTGAGCTCGTGCTGCTCGCTGTATCATATGTGAATGTATAATATATATATATATGTGTGTTACTCATCTACTAACTAACTAACTAATTAAGTTTAAGCACGATGTAAATCATTTTTAATTAATTTGCGACAATTTTTTGCGATGTGTATTCGTAAGACAGTTGCATTAAAATAAAATTTATAGCACAAGGAATGAATGTGTAATATATGTCTTTAATCAAAGCCATACCACTGAAGAATAGAGAATGGAAAGCAGGAAGAAGGTGATGCGGCCAAAGCCCATTGAGGTCTTTTAGCTCGTACGTATAACGGTCTGACCGAGTAACCGAGTATCGAAGAAGAAGTGTTAATATATACTTATATATAACCAAAAATTTTTTTGCAGCAATCAAAAATTAAATTTAAAAAAATTAGCATTTTTTTTCTTGACGAAAAGTGAAAAAAATATTATCGCCAAAAAGAAACTAAAAAATATAGACACACGAAAGTATAAGTATAAATTTATAAAAATTGTTATAAAATGAGAAACTTTTGAAAATTTCTATGTGTTTATTATTACTTTACATTTAATAATTTTATAAAAGATGTAAATCTCTCCTCCCCCCTCCCCCCCAATTTTAAATATTACGTGAGATAACAGTTATTTCTCTTCTTCATATCTTGTTTATTGTGATGTGTACCTCGTGTATGTACATACATATGATGTACATATACATCGTATCTAACCAAGGTGAAGTGCATTAACAAGAAAACGTTAATCATTTAAACAAGGCGAAGGCAATGCCGATTGTACTTTAAAGTCCGCGATTCATGCACCGTGAACATATATCCATCGTCCTGGCAAACGATCATAATGTGCCAGGATAATTTCATGCTCGCTAGGCCGCCGATTGTCGGTTAACTGTGGAATAATTTCATTTGCATCAGTGCCTTCTGCGCTCATACACACATATATAAGAACGATAAGTGAAAGTGGGGCGAACGTTCATGTGACTAAAATGTGTCGGCTCGGTAAATGCCCAATATGTGTGTATATGTATGTATGTAAAAATTAAAATTAATAAATAAAATAATATTGCAACACATTCCGTGATTAACGCAGGAGCAACAGCGATAATATTATTTATATTGAATTATGCATGATTTATCATTTCACTAATATGAAAGCATGCACGTATGTACTATGAAACGATTAAAGCCTTTAATAAAATATTTATTTTCTAAGAAAAATCATCACATGAGTGCATCTCGCGCGAACAACGATTTCTCTATATAGAATAATGTTTAAGATTGCAAAAACGAAACTCTTCATTATATATTTTTCCGAAAATGTGTTCTTCTTCGAGAAATATTATGAAGGCAAATAACTAACTGAAAAACATTTTTGTAAATAAAAAAATTAAAAATTTTTAACTCTAAAGATTTTATCTAAAAAAAAAAATATTATCTTTATTGCAAAAAAGTTTGTTAGCACGAATCAAATATTATTCAATTGGTCAAAGATGATTTTATATAAAAAAATAGGTTGCCATCATCAATATATAAGTTTAAATACCAATTTATCGCGAAAAAAAAAATAAATAAAATAAAAAGCGGGACATGTACTTAGACAAGATAATTAAAAAAAATTTTTTTTAGAAAAAAAAAATTGTTATCTTTAAACATCTTATGGACTACTTTTAGGTTTATTTGCTGCAATGTCTGCAACGACGTACTTACAGCCGAGGTATATAGAAACACCCGAGAAGAGGAGGAAGAATAAGAAAGCGGCGAGGACGCAGCATCCGCAGCGATACTGGCCACCGAGTTTTCTCGTGAAACGGATGTCGCTGTCGGATGATAGGATCGAGCTTGGTGTTCCAGCACGGCTGAACCTTCTGGTACTCACTGTACTCACCGAAATCTACGAATGAAGATGTACTTGTTTTTTCAATATCGACAATGTTAATGTTTGTGAGATAAAGATATATATATATATATATATATGTTTATATTACTTCTCAAATATATATAATAATTCTCTGAAAAGATTTCCCCCAAAATGATTGTTTTGAGTAATATATATGACGTAACAAAATAAAAAGACTCTAAAATAAAATTATTATATAATAAAATATCAATAAAATATCAATCTCATTATATAATAATATAATATATTAATTATCAAGGAGAAACAATCATATATCAAATATAACCAAGAAGCTATAAAAATATGATGAGTACTATTTATGATAGTCATTTCTTCTCACATTATTTGTATATTACAGTTATAATTTGTATATTACTCAACGTAAACTCGAGTCATTTATATTACAAATATTATATATTTGATACGTTTCTTAAATATTTTTGACAATATTTTCTGTAATAAAATAAAGTCATAGCATAATGGCAGAGAGCATTACGAAAGCAAAATTGCGCGCGCTCAAACTATCAGTAAATAATATCTAATAAATAGTGGGCGGTATTTCTCCGCTGATGAAACATTCTGTTTCTTTGTACCAATATATTTTTAGCAATTCGAAAGAACAGGAATTACTGTGATTGTAACACGACTTGCATTAACGACCACATTGCTTCCGTCTCAGAATTAAGATAATACAATACTATCCGAATCAATTGCAATACAGCTGCGAATTTGAACAAATTATGCAGAATGAATCACTTTTAAATAAGAATAAAACTTAAAATATTTTTGTTACTTTCAACGATACACAAAAATAGAAATATTTAGGAAGAGAAATATTTGTATTTTCAGAAAGAATAAGACAATGTTTTAGCAAGTTTGTTAGTGCATGTGTGTGTGCGCGCCTAGATCAAAATGAATAAATGAAAATATTCATGCACACAGAAAAATATTATTCTATTGCTAAGTAAAATGATTACTCAGTTTACTTTACTTCTTTTAAGTAACAGTTATCTTTAACAAAGAATATTTTCTTAATAATAGTCTTAAAATAGACTTGTCACAAATTTTAGAAATACTCATTATCATGTACTCAAAATAAGTTAATATTTTCTTTTGAAGAATATTATAAAATTTTATCGAAGAAAAGTCAGATATGGTTAATTTAATGTAAGAAAATTTATTAGATCAGAAAAATTTAATGTATTTCTTTCAATTATATAATTTAATATTCTTGATTGAAATATTATATTTATTAGGATTCAGAATATATTTTGAATAAATTTGATGCTTATGATGAACTTATGATAGATTTGCGGATATATGAACTTTTGAAATACTTGAAACAAGTAATATTTACTTGTATATAGTATGTATTTTTCTGTATGTGGCCTTAACATCTTATGTCTTCACTTTAATAGCAATTGTATTACGCAACTAAATCGTATATAAGTACGCGCGCATGTGTGTATGCGAATGACATACGCGTCATAATTGTGACGTATGAAATAGATATGCATTATATCGGGCACGCATTGTCGATAAATCTACATGACGCATGAATTTGCGAATACGTAAGTATTTGTGTAATCGTTCCTCGTTGCATCTTTTCTGTATGCAAAGCGCACAGCACAATAATCGCATAGGCACCGCGATATGCCTACGCCTTCGTTCAATCGTTCAAATGCTACGCCTGGCTCACGCTCCGACGCGAAGGATTACAACCGAGGATATCTGGATAGTAGCTGCTGCAAAGGTCATGAAATTAAAGGTCAAAACTCACCTAAATAGTGCGAAATATGTTATTCCTACATATACACAAAAGAATAACGAGCGTGGATTATATCCATAACGTATCAGTACACATTAAAATTCAGATCAAATATATAATGAAAATTCTATTGTGTGTATATAGATACTAAAAGATTCATCTTCTAATAATTGTCGACTGAAGTGCTACAGCAGCGATCTAAGTATTAAGTAATAGTGGATATTTAAACGACGTTCGTGAAAGTCAACCGATTTTCGCACGCGATTCGTATATATATATGGGAACCATGCTTAAGCATAACGTATTACGTATATTACGTAGCTACCAGCTTGGCAAACAAAGATATTATCTCGAACTCTGTTTTCAATCATTTCCGGAGTGCAATGTACGCCATAACAACTATTATCTAATTATGAGAATTAAATACAATACGGATAGGCTTCCCCATAATTACAAAATATATATTTATTAAAATATAGCAGAAAAATTCGCGATTTCATGATTTTATTGCATTTTTATTAATTTCCATTCTATAGATTCATAAATCTAATAATTTGAGAATATATATATATATATATATATATATATATATATATATACATTGTAACAATAAAAAAGGAAAAGAAAATTAAATAAAGTGTAATTAAATTATGACAAAATAGGTATATCAAAATATTTTTAAAAAAAGTAAAAAATATTTAATAAATATATATAGCGTTTTATACTTCACACGGTTAGGTTCAAGAGATTTCCAACTGACATGCATTGTCAAGATCACGATTCTGAATAATTTTTAACAAATTTTAGTCGTTTCGCTCTTATTATTTATTAATAAATTATTAATAAATAATAATTTGGTTGCTGAGTATTTATTTTTTAATGAATAAAAATATAAAAACTAGCAAACTAGATCTATAATTGTACGACTCCAAATAGGATTGCAACTATATACAAAGCGATTCACCAAAGTTGGAAACTCATTTGCAACTGCACAATTATAGAGATCTCGATTCGCATTGAAAGCAAATCTCGAATGATGTGTAATAAATGTCATTTTGCGTGGATAGTATTATCAGTTTCTATTTTTTTACTTATTAAAGAATATTCAAGCTGTCAAACTTTTTGATCTGTTAACTTTTTCATAAACAATGTGAGTTATTGGCTAAAAACTTTTAAAGATTATTCAGTGATCTTAAAATAAATTTTTTTTTCCAAATTGGATTAAATAAATCTTTACTTGTGTGATCTAATATGTTCATATTGTATTTATGTACTTGCCAGTACGTACTTATTTTATTATTATATATAGTTAATTTGCATTATGTTTCGCGACATAAAGTATATATTCGCAAAATAAAATGCCATCTACGTGTGTAAAATATTTTCTCACAAAACCACAAAGCCACGTTGGGAGAGGAAAGTTTCTTCTAGTCTATAGCGTTATATAAGGGTAACTACAAAAATGTACACTATGCCTATGATATTATGAAACTGGCGATAGCAGAAGAACTGAATGCGAGAAGTTGCCTTTCGTTCGTGGATATCAGCTTCGTGAATAATACTTGGATCTTGCATAAGTTTTATTTGCCTCGCATGATCGATTCTGATGTAATATTAAAAACACTATTGTAAATGGCAAGTACCAAATATATAATTTTTTATTCAAATTCTGTTCATATAATTTCTAGTAAAACATAATTAAATATTACTTAATTAATCACATTACTAAATAATTGCAATATCAAATAATTAAATATTATATCATTGTATCAAAATATTAAAAGAAAAGTAAAAAGATATTATGCGCAAACGCAATCTAAGAATTACTAAAAAAAAAACAAAAAACAAAAAAAAACAATTTGAAAAAGAAAAACGATGCACACAATGATATTATGCAAATAGCAAGCTTGTCTTAATACAGATCATCTGTGAATATCAGTGTCAATCAAAGTATTATAACTTAAAGTCGAATATTTATTTTATACAGTTCATACATAAAAGGAAAATACAAAAGTCTTCGACTTAAGCTACTTGTAAATTTACGTGCGCTTTGGATGCGAATAAAACTAGCATCTTACTTGTAAATTTGCAATAGTGTAAACAAGCAAATCGATGTATTTCTAAAAGAAAGAAAGTTCATAAAGAAGAAAATGTAAATACCAAATAGATCGACGCGATTGACTGCAGTTGTGAGTTTCATGCCAATCTTGATAATGGGCCGTTTCGCGCTTGAGATGAGCTGATCCGATCTAAACGCACTAGATTGGAAAGTAGAATTCAACGCGGATAAACGTAGTGCTTTGGTAGCGATTATAGGAAGAGATTAAGACACGCTCGAACTGGACAGCGTTTCGAATTCTTCCGTTAATAGGCGCGGTCAACGACTTCAAGACCGGAAAAAATAAGACCTTGCTGATAGAAAAGCGCTTTCCACGGCCAGAAACTTTCATGAAAGTTTGTGCGAACTCTCTCGCGGTACCCGCTTCTGGTTCCACTACAATAAGCTTCGCTAATAATTGAACGATATATTATAAATGAACGTTGAAAGTACTATCGATCAAGATTAAACTGCTCTTCCAGTGGATAAATTACTTTAATATTCCCGATAATGAGAAGATGAGTCAAATATATTGTGTTACACTTCCATACAAAGTCGCGTGTAAGAAGAAACAAGAACTCATCAATTTATATACATATATTTATGTATAAATATGTGTATATAAATTGATGAGAGCGAAGGAAAAAGCGTTTTTATATAATGTGTGGTTGAGAAAACAATTTAAATTGATTGGCTATATTAAGATATAATGAAGATATCTTGCATCAATATTTTAATCATGCCAATCCATAATTTCTAGTTCAAATTGATCTTTTTATTTAAAAATGACAAAAGTATAATAAAAGTATAACAAGTATGTCGTACACAATTCATGAATGCAAATAAAATTGATCATACAAATATATAATAATAACAATAATGCAAACTTTTTTGTTGCATTAGGAAAGATGTTGACTGATTATCAATTTGTTAAAAGAGTTAGTGTCAACGACCTGACGGGAAGAATCTATAAAGCGTCATCGGAGCTACTGTTCTCTCGTGACTTTCTTGACCGTTATAACCGTTATACCAAACACCAAGCCACCTTTCCAAAAGAGCAAGAATCTAGGAACGAGTTTCTGACCGTTTTAAATTACAATCCGTTCAGTTATACACACACACACACATACATACATATATATATATATACAATATACAACATTCAGTCATACTCCTTTTACGCGATACTAACTGCTGAAACACAATACTGTACTCAGCAAAAAGCACTCAAATCATAAAATATGATAATGGAGTTGATTTTTAATATATAATATTTTTTCTTCATTATTACAATTTTTAGCATATATATTCTATGCAGCAAATTGTATCTCAAATTATTTCATATTTTATATTTTAATCACATCATAACTGAGGGAAAGAAAGGAAAGAAAACACGTTCCAAAATGGTACATCTTCGATATTAAGTAAAGCAGTTTTTAATACCCTTTCATGTTTTTATTTCACATTGAAAATTGAATTATATGTGAAAAATGTGTTTTTTTAATATCCCAAAAGAGACAGCAAAGGAAAGACAAGAAAGCAAAGAATTAAATAAAGAATAAAAATTACCATATATGTCTCTCATCATGCATTAAATTTTTATCGCTAAATAAATAGTAAACCCCGATATAAGAAGGCATGAGATCGTCGATGGACGCTTCTCGATATTCAAGCCAGGCTAAACACGATGAGCGATTACACTAACATTATACATCATCTAAACTTGATCGACGAGACGGCGACAAGCGTCACGTGCGATCTTAAAGAATATCAAACGCGATCGGGTGCTCTTGTAAAATAACGGTATCGGGGATAGAGCAGATGGCCCAACCCAGACAACCCAACCCACCTAACGCATCGCTCTCCATTCCGACCAGCCTAGTTCTTCGTAAACTTGGTGCCGAGTGCGTATGTATTTGTACGCGACTCGGGGTCATTGGAGAACAAGATCAAGTGGTCTGTGGAGATGAAAACCGAACGGATATACGAATCAGACTTTTGCTATCGAGAAAAAGATAAATCGCGTGTAAATAGCTTATAAATATATTTATATTAATAATCAATATTACTGACAAAAAAAGTCTCGCAAATTATAAAAGTTGTCATTTCAATTAAACCTTCACGACAATCCCGCTCTGATCTTTCAAAATCTTTTACATATCTATATTTTATACTGTAATGCGAGAGAATTAATCGGAGAAATTAAACAAAGAACAAAGGTAAACATCAGTGCACGTGTTGTTGCGCAATTATTGGATGCGCGATACAACTTATACGTAAATTATTGTCCAGGTTATTTATTCATTCGTGAAAAAATTCTGTTTACAATTGGAAAATTACTGTAACGCGATCTCTAAGAACAGAATTAATTCCGTTCATTTTTCTCGCGAATAAAAAAATATTATATTAGTCTACAATATGAAAATTAATTAAATTAATCAGAATTGCGCTTTCTCTCTCTCTCTCTCTCTCTTTCACTTACTAATTTATCACGAGCAATAAGTGAGACCAAATGTCAGCCTGAAAGCAGCAACTTATGAAAGCGATTATTCCATATTTCATCTTGCAACGTTTGCGTTTAATATCATTTCTAGATAATAGCTGAAAAGGAGGTATACCATTTTCCATTTTCAAAATAATTTTTTGCAAAATCTATAAAAACGCCAGCCATGAGACAAAACATAACACTGTATTAAGCAATAAAGCAATAAATATTACGTCTTTTCACATTCTCTGCTTGTATAAAAATCCTATAATAATATTGTGTCAAAACAAGACTGCAAGTTTAAACAAGGAAAGTGCACGATACATTTGTCAAGGTTTCATTTAATGAATAATTTTAAAATGCATACAAATCTGGAATCGGACACACACATTTGCGTTTATTTTGAATTACACTTGCTCTAAAAATGTTGAAACCCTTGAGAACGATTCTTTGAAAAAACTAGTAAATGTCTCGAGAAAATACAATGCGCTCACTCCATTACTCATATCTTCGCTATAACAAACAATATATTCCTCCGTACACGATTCACATTCCAGTATTTTGTATTTTCCACTCGGTTCATTGCTTAAGTCACGATGTTTTCGCATGAGGGCCCACTCCCTAATTAATGATGCGACAGGATAATGAAGAGAGCATATACCACGAAAGGGGAAAGTGCGCTACATATTCGAATCTCACCTTTGAATCCCACGAACTCTTCCGCTTGTGCTCCATCGCGACGGTCATTTTTCTATCTATGATCGCTCTCGAGCTTTGTCAGCGCTTCTCCTCCAGAACTTGATTAGCTCGAAGAGCCATGAGGATCATTGTGGATTCTTTTTCCTCGAACGTGTGTCTTAACGGTATTGGATGACTACACGGAAACAACTATTTTCCTCTCGTCTCTGTGTTTTCGGTTTTTAGGAATTGCAAGATTGTATATTGGCAAGATGCATTTCTTGTACGCCTCTCACTTGTCTCTTGCGAGCGAAGATATTAGCTCGATCACTGTAAAAAATATTTAAAGCGAGAGAAATAATTAAAAAAATTATTTTCTAAAAAGTATTAAATTTACAAATCGATATTTTGAATGAATACGATTGAACCACGCGAAGAGAAGTGAGTAAATAAATAAATTTACCATTATTAAAACATCCGCAATCTCTTGACTTAAAAAGGTATTCCTTGGATTAGTATCAAAATTATTTCATTGTTTTTAAGTTCTCAACTTTATTAGCTAATACTTATTAATTTAAAAAACCATAATTAAATTAATAATGAATTTTATCGAGAGAAAAGACAACATAGAGGCAAATTTTACCGACAAGAAAAACTTGATATTAATATGAAAAGTATATTTCACAATACCCATATATTTTATGTTTTAACACATAGAATTTCTTCTATATTTCTCTTATATTTGCCTTATATATTTCTCTTATGTTGATAATGTTTTAAAAATATAAATTGTCTGCACATATGTTAGGTAAATAATACTTTTGAACATTATTGTATATGTAAAAAAGCTTGAAGCAATTTAATATAATTCTGTAATAAATAGTAATATAAATGCTTGTAATGTTTAAAATTTCAAGAATCATATATGACATAACATTATAATATTATATTTATAATTTTTAAATTTTTATTTATGTAATTTGCAAAACTTATAAAAAGCAAGCAAAAGCTACTGGTATCGTTTCAATTGTAAAATACATCGAATATTCAGCTTATGTAGTTGAGTAATTCAAGATAAGAATCAAATTTGATATACAAATGTTCAAATAATCGATTGAATAATAATTGGATTGGATCGATTGGATAATATATTAGAAATTAATAAGAAAAAGGAAATTAAACGCAAGTCTCCAAAGAGATGCATTTGAAGTAGAAAAAATTTCCATACGCACACAACTAATTTTATAAATATAAATAATACATATGTAATATTTAAACCATAAAATAAAAATAAGATTTATTTTATACAATTTATAAATATTCGGGAGAGAAAGGGGAGGGAAAAATACCAATTCCTTTCATAATCTTATCCGTTATTTTCGACTATTAAATTCTCTTTAATTTAGAGGAACACCTAAAGAGTTTATGTGTAATTTCGTGACTTTTTATGTGATATGTACATTTTACGAGTTAAATATATACGTATATGTATATCGCTTTTATGAATAAAAAATTTAAAACGTAATAAGATCATAAACAAGAAATCATAAGTATCATAAGCAAGAAATAAGATTTATAGTTAGCAATAATTTTTCTAGTTTTTTTACACATTAAATCATACAACCTCAATTTTAACTTTGCTTAATTATATAACAAGCATTTAGAATTTAACAAATTGGGTTTATTCTGTGTGTGTGTGTGTGTTTCAGTATTCACAAACGATGGATTCTGTCAGAAATATTAGAAACTGTATCATATGCAGAAGCGCTGTTTTGTTTCCGAATTATATTTCTTCTTACTTTTTTGGAATATTTTGATAAATTATTTAATCTTTTCGTACAGCATGTAAAATCAATTTATTAAACATAAATACATATACAAAAACTCTTTATTTCTATACAAAACTCTACTTATGTAAATTTTCACATGTTTTTTGACATGAAAAATACTTTAAAACATGAATTCGATTCTAAACAATCAACATTTGTCTTGCTTGGAAAAATAACGTTGGAACAAATAACTTGTTTAACGAAAGCATTTCCGATATGATATTTTAAGCACTATTTTTTATTAACGAAAGTTGTTATATTTCAAAGGTGATGAGACAAGTTTTAATTTTAGTACACTAAAATTAATACGCGTATATCCTCGTTTTAGATTTACGAGTTAAATATATACGTATATGTATATCGCTTTTATGAATAAAAAATTTAAAACGTAATAAGATCATAAACAAGAAATCATAAGTATCATAAGCAAGAAATAAGATTTATAGTTAGCAATAATTTTTCTAGTTTTTTTACACATTAAATCATACAACCTCAATTTTAACTTTGCTTAATTATATAACAAGCATTTAGAATTTAACAAATTGGGTTTATTCTGTGTGTGTGTGTGTGTTTCAGTATTCATTATCAAGTGTACTATGCAAATAAAATTCCAACCTTTTCGATCGACAACCGCGTTTCTCAGAAAATCTCGTCGAAATCACCTCACTGAAAATTATTCAGAAAATTTCACCTTGAAACATGCGTGTTAGTAAAACGTAAATGCGAACGAGCCGAATCGTAAATTGCAACAACGGTGAAAACGTACTCGAAGAAAGGAAATGACCGAACGATCGCGCAGTGAACGAAACGTTTGCCACCTCAGTCAGGCGAGCACTTTGATCATCGAAAGGTGGAGAAATTCTCCAGCGGTACCGCGACCACGATCCGGAGAATTGTTCCGAACGTGGCGATATACTGCTGGGAGAGCGGTGGCCTGTCTGCCTGCCTGCTTGCTTGCCTGCCTACCTGCCTACCTTCTCACTCGTGGATGCACTTTCACGTCATTACCGGTTCTCCACGATGTCCATGCGTACAGTTATGGACTAGTTCGGAGCAAGGACGCCTATCCCTCATCTCTCCCTGGTTATCCCTCTCTATTCTATCTTCTCCTGTGTTCATTCATGTCTTCCCGTTTTCGTCCGAATCTCTTTTTTCTAAACTTATGATCTTGCTTGCCTCTTTTTAATTATTCATTATCTTTTTTATTTTGTATCTTTTTTTGCTGTTGGCTCCTTTTTTGTGATCATTTGCCTATATCTTTTTTTTTTCTATTTATAGCTCTAGTGTTTTTTACTTCCTCATAGAGGAAGCTTTGTTTTCGTGACAAAATAAAAAAAGACTATCCCCCCCCCCCCCCTCTCCCCCTATCTCTCTCTCCAATATATGAGTTTTTTAAATAATTTTATTTTAAATACACACACATTTTTTTCATCTAAAAATACAAGGCTATTAACTTTTTTATATAAAAATGTCAAAAAATCTTAGAGAGACTATAACTTGGTTTCTTCAAATGCCCATATATTTGTCTTATTAAATGTAAAACTCATAACGCCAATACGAAAGTTGTTATATTTCAAAGGTGATGAGACAAGTTTTAATTTTAGTACACTAAAATTAATACGCGTATATTCTCATTGTAGATTATGCGTCGATGAAATAAGATGGAAAATTAGATGTAATAAAAAAAGACTCTCTCTCTCTCCCCCTATCTCTCTCCAATATATGAGTTTTCTAAATAATTTTATTTTAAATACACACACAATTTTTTCATCTAAAAATACAAGGCTATTATTTTTTTTATATAAAAATATCAAAAAATCTTAGAGAGAGTATAACTTGGTTTCTTCAAATGCCTATATATTTGTCTTATTAAATGTAAAACTCATAACGCCAATTAGTATTTTAAAAATAACATATATAGAATAACACGTATAGTATTTCTCTCTTTCTTTCTCTCTCTCTTTCTCTCTAATACTTGATATTTCTATATCGTCTTGATTTTATGTCCACACATATCTATCATCTACTCTGACTCGATTACAACGGTGATCTGGGCGTTGCTAATAAAATGCATTTGTATATTTCGTTGTTTACGAAAATTAATACTTGAGTTGCTTTATAAATTGTTTCGATTGTCTTTCTCGAGATGAATTATAAGAGATTTCTTATTTAAAATCTATACACTTTTTTGAAAAATTTGTTTATGAACGTTAAAAATTTATGAAATTTCACGATACAATTTTATTGTAATGTATTATTATTATCTAAATTTAAACCATTTAAGAAATAGTAATTCTTTTAATTTCCAAAATCATCACGCGCAAGGGATTGTAATTATTGTTATCAAATATGATTATTATCATATTGTGTGATCTTTATTCTTATATAATCACACAGTAAGGAGCGCATTTTGTTTAATCATTCAGTTTATTTGTACGGACAATAAATGATACATATGTGTACGAACTACATGAATTTTTCTTAATTCTAATACATCGATATAATGTTTATATACTCGGGTGAATGATCATATTAGGCGATTACATACAGGCGATACGGATATGGATTAGCGAATGTTTCACTTTTCGTTCGACGAAACGGACGTGGACTACGTGGATGTGGATCCGAAGGCGACTGCGTCCGAATAACGCGTATAGAATCTCACTCTCTCTCTCTCTCTTTCTTTCTCTCTTTCTCCAGTACTTGACATTTCTATATCGTCTTGATTTAAAGATCGGTATCATACCAGGCCGCGACCTGGTTGTTATCTTGCGGCGGTGCAGGGAGCTCTTCCAAACGATCGAAACTCAAATCACCCTCGTGCGCCACGTCCATAGTGTCCATCGCACCATACGTCGATCCACCACCTATCTCCAATCCTTGCATTGAGTCTATTGGTATCTGGTCATAACCTGTTATATGAAAAAAAATATCTTGTTTTTTAAAGATTCTATTATTTACTACTCATATTACATACATCGATAAAAATTACGCTGCACACAAAGTGCAGAACTTTATTAATCAGTGAAGCATAATCACTTGGAAAGTGCTTTGCAATTTTTTTAATGTTCAAGATATATATAGTTTGCTATGCGTCCTAAAAATGATTGAATCTTCTCTTCTTATGACTAAAATATAATTAATTTATGATTATATTTCTCATATAATTATACAATACTAATATATGTATATATCATATTTGATGGTTATTAATTGATTTATATGACATATTTTTTTATCATAAATCTACTTTATGCTAAGCTGTAGGACAAAAATTATTTAGTAATCAAAGCTACTTATTAATAGTCAGACACATACACATGGAATAAATAAATATATATATAGAATAAATAAATATAAATAAATATGACTCCGCCATCATAAAGTGCATATTACAGCAAAAGAAAAATAATAACAAAGTAAATAAATAAATAAATAAGCGCTGTATAAATATAAATGCTTAAAAAAATATTACAATACTCTACACATACATTAAATGACGCATTTGTAATTACAAATGAGAAAAGATGATTTGTAATGTTAACATTAAACATGCAGTCAAAATCGATTATTGAAGATGTCAAACAACCAGATAATGAAAACAAGAACAATACATAAAGACAAAGTGACCTTTGTTACTGCGAGATACTGTTGATAGCCTGTATTTTAATTTAAGAGTCCGTGGGTTAAGCTGCTGTTAAAATAACATACAATTAAATGCATCATTTTATATTAGAAGTAACACTGAAGAAAATAGTAAACTATTTAATAAACTCCGCGTTTTTTTTTAATGCAAGACACAGAGAATTGCTTCATAAAATAGCATTATTAAATACAAAATTATTTCGCTATTTTATACGCCGGCCGTATGGAATTATTATTACAGTTATATCTATATATATTGTTGCGCTTCTTGTGTTTCGTCCTTGCATAAAAGCTATATTTGGCGGTTATATTTGATATCCGCTATACCTGTCTTCGGAGAATCATCTCCGAACGCGTTACTAAGGGGATCAATAAGTACGGACATCTTGAGAAGAGTCACCATCTTGTCGAGTCTCGCGACTGCTGTCATACCATGTGGACGTATATTTTCGACAATTACAATTATTACAATATTTCCCTATATTCTATATTCTATAGTTCTATATTCTATATTCTAAATTCTTTATTAAAATTATAGCAAGTTTGTTTTAAAACAGCATTGTTATATCCGACACGAGTGCTTGTGAGTGAGCGACAGTACGAGAACAAACTGCGAATCAATCGAAATCGACTCGCAGGCGCAACAATATATAAACACATTTTATGGAAACAAAATGAGACTTGTTTTTACTTGGGTCGTTCACGTCAAAACTAGAATTCAATTTTTAGACAGGTAAGAAGACAAGATTATAATCAGTAAAGAACATTTATTTTTCAACGTAATCCCCATTAACATCACAGCATTTTTGCCATCGACGTACTAATGCGTTAATACCGGCAGAATAGTTGTCCTGACGTCTGAACCATTGTAACACACACGTTTTAAGCTCATCTTCTGACTGAAAGCGCCTACCACCCAAATGTTCCTTCAAAGGACCAAACAGGAAATCTGAACGCTTGCAGTTTTTCTCTGGTTTTCTGGGAGATGTGTTATAGTATCTTTCTATTTTGCCGGCATTGGTACGTCGATGCCAAAAATTCTGTGATGTAAATGGAGATTACATTAAAAAATAAATGTTCTTTACTGGTCATAATTTTGTCTCTTTACCTGTCTAAAAATTAAATTCCGATTTTGACATAAATGACCCAAGTATATGTACATATCTCAAATTCCGTCTGCCTTCGATCGAGTAATAAATCGATTATTCGGAAGCAGCACATTCGATAAACGAGATGAATAATACTTATAAATTACCTTGCGGTTGATAACCCCGACCGCCATGGCTGCTATGTACACTAGGAGGTCCTTGGCCATACATACCATCATAGCCTTGATCAGGGCCAAGCATGTCCTGAAGATTAGGTAGCTTAGGTCAACACAAAGCATATCTTCTAAAGAAGGCGTGTCATGACACCTCGAAATACGGACAGATATGCGCTATAGTAGGCAAGTCTCGTATGGTAATAATAACGATTAAGAGAGCTTATATGAATAATATAATAATGGTACAAAAAAAGAAAAAAAAAGGAAACTATTAAATAAACATCTGCAGAAGGAACAAAATGCATTCCCATGCACATGATAATCTTGCAAACTATGAATTAGGATTCTAAGGTGTCTAATTGTAAGTGCATTTCGTGATCTATTGCTCCATTAGGCACAACCATTCTTTTCTTTAATTTTTCAACTTTTGAGCAAATATTGATATAAATATTGATATAAAAATAACGTTAAATCTTGGACATTAATGTATTATAAAGCTTAAGCATAAAAATTTAAAATGTAGCTAATATTAATATGTGTTAGCTTTTTTTTTCTTTTTTTGCTTCAGAGAAGCATACATTTCAAAACTGTTCATACAACGGGTTTATAACTTGTTAAGCAATGTAAAACTGTATGAAATTAATCTCTTAAAACATTATATATCTACCATTTTCATAAATATAATAGTAAAAGTCTACAGTGTAATATTTGAGGGATAGTTAGAATTAAATATTATAGCACATGAATGAGTACTGCACTATGCCTTAATGGTGCAAATTCTGATTCATAAATAATAATGTTGTAAACATGATTTAAAAACAGTGTGTTCAAAATTTATCTTACAAGGGGAAAATCTTTTATATAAATACCTGAATGTTATAATTAGAAAGAGACGGGCTTGTCTCTGAGCAATAAAAAAACTCTATTATCATAACGTGGCACAATTTACCAAACACAATGTAACCATCTAAAGTGTAACATTTCCATGCTATGATATAAATGTATTTCTGTTTATATCATATTACAAACCTGACAAAGTCCTGGCAAGTACTTAAAAACAACTAATTATAAAAGACAAAATCTGCTTCTATATATACATATATAAAACTAAAGCTTGCTATGTTACATAGTGTTTGCAAGTAAATCTATTTCGCCACGGCACGAATAATTTTACGTGCATTACTGTATTTGTTTTCTACGATACCTGGAGATCTGGGGCCACGCTGAAGTCAGTATTATTCCATAAGTTTGTGTCTTCGCGGAATAAGGAATTCGTCAGCTCCATGGAAAGTCGTTTTTTGTACTCTTGGGGCTTATCTTCGCTCATACGAAACAATACTGCTGCTGCATAAGTCGCAACACCTTCGTTTCTAGAGTGAAGTAGTTCCGTCAGTGGGGCAGTAGCACCCTCTTGTTCTATTATCTCGGCACCTTCCTTGTCAGCTGCTAGTTCGCAAAGCACGCCGGCTGCCACGCGTTGAATGTTTTCAATCTCATTAAATAATAACTGTATGGAAAACAAACCTGTATTAAAATTTTTCGAAAGAAAGAAAGGTGATAGATACAGAACCCTCTATTCTCTTTAGCTATTTTTGATCTCCTATTATTTTGGATTAACTGAAAGTCGCTTCTTTAGCTACACATTTGACCACATAATCATGTGTAGGAAAAAGGAGTGAAAGAGAAATTACAGAGTACAACACGACATTTCCATTCTGTGTATGTGATATTAAAACAGATTGGGAATTGAGGGACAACTCAATAGAAGAATCTGATTCTGTACTTAGAAAAAGAAATGTTATATAAATTCTTTTATAAAAATAACGATACATACTTGTACGAAACATGGAATCACGTTTTGTGAGCGAATTATCGCCCTATTGTGGGACTCCCTTGCTAGAATGTGAAGGGCTCCCACTGAGCCTTCCACTACTTCTTCCATCCGAACTCCATCTATAGCACATGCACCTGTTTGTTGGTTAGTACTAGCGACAGATGAACGTTGCTGCAAATAAAAATTTTACACATGCTAATTTGTAGAAATAATTATTATAATTTTATTAATTATTAAAAAAATCTGAAGAGGATCTCTTCATGTAATGGTATAAAAAACTATAACAAGAAACATAAATTGAATGACTGAAAAACATAACATAAATGGTACATACTTGCAAAAAGAATCACACAATATATATTATTAAAAATACCATGTATATAAACTAATATTTCTTGCCACATCAAGGTCTGTTCTTTTGCGGACCCCATAGGCAAGTCGCCTGGGCCTTGATAATTTCCTTGAGACACTGAAATTCAAACGAGTATAACATACAGATAACTTAAATTTCCATATCTAATGCGACAAATTAAATCATATAAACGATTAACTTACTTGGTCTAGATTGATTCGACGACATCGGATAACTCATGTCTCCGAGAAATAAAATTATCTCTGCGTCTGCAATGAGTAAAATAAAACTCCACAAATTTCTAAACACTCTGTCTTATAATATAATCCATTGATTTCAAGGCTCGAGTAGATATTTGCATTGAGTTATACAATGCTTGCAAGAATGCAAAGAAAGACTAACGCGAGGCAACGCTCCCGTCAGTCGAGGTGAAACCGAATCGCGTAGATTTGTCGATTTCGATATTAACGCGTCATTTGAGATCTTTATGAGCATTAAAAATGTCTTAAAATTCGCTTTAAACTCGTATACCTTTGCCAAATATCTACTTGCGCGTGTTGATAGCGTTCGTAACAATCTGCGACATGATGCGCGACACTATGCTGGGTCAGTGAATCCCGTTCCGGAGAGATGTTCCAGCGCGGAATGTGGGCGCGATCGAAGAATCTCTCTCTCTCTCTCTCTCTCTATTTTTCCTTCTACCCTCTCTATCGCGCTCACGCTCTCGCTCTCGCGTCACACAGCTTCAGACTCGTGGGTGCTGCCGACTGCGATCGAATATGCGTCGTGCCGTTGCACTCATCGGGTGTAGCCGCAAAATATGGAATCGCGATGGAATGTAGAAAGGGTGATGCACGCGCCTATTCGAGGACTACGTCAATGCAATGTGTCATCACTTTCTGACAATCGACAAGATCGTGAGAGAAGGAGAGAACAGCATAGCGGCGAAGGGAAAGGCAATTGATGTGTGCGTGTGAAAGAGAAAGAAAAAGAGAGGAAGAGAGAAAGCGGCCGAAAAGGATACCATCTCGGCGAGGAAAAAAAAGATTAACAAATATATAGAATATGAAGCGAAAAACGTCAAGACAAATATTTCGTCAGACGAAAAGAATGCACCTCGTAAAGTATTAGTCGATACCGATGCGCATGTTCGTATCTAGTGATCGACTCCAAGTTCGAACCGATAATTCTTTTGACATGCCACTCTTGCATCTAGCACAAATTATATCTCTCTATGTATCAGAGAAGCAGATACATTCAATATAGACACGCGCAACGCGCCATGCTCCCGAGCGGATTTCCAATTCGTGCAATGACTTACTGTACTGCGATACGATTCCGCGGCTCGTCCAAGGTGCACAAATTCTCTCTTGAAAAAGTGGGCAGTGTTATTCTCAGCTTCCTCGCGCATGTGCAGCATAATGGCAATGAAAGTCAGGGATGTATGCCTGCGGCGAATAAGCGCGCGCAAAAATCTTAATATTTTGAATACTATTGATATAATTTAATCAAGAAAGCCACACATATTGCAAATATAAAGAGAATTTTGAAATTATCTAACATATATCTCGATGCATATTTTCTTTCATTGACTTTAAAATTATTTTTAGGAGTAGAGGTCTAGGAGCGCCCCTTCTCTTATGAATTTGCTACTTCAATGCGGCCACGTTCAATGCGCATGCGTGAAGAAAAGCGTCTCTGAGAACAACATTGAAAGTGGAAGGCAGTTTCAGCGCCACCTGCCCTCGGACTCGGATAAGAACGAACTAAAATCGGTCACGTGACAAGAAGTTGACGCCATTGAAAACTATGTGCGTGTGTGTGTGTGTGTGTGTGTGTGTTGTGTGTGTGCGTATTTTTATATATTTCTGTAATCCATAATTAATGTAATATAACTGGCTAAATATGGTAGAAAATATGATGTTTGTGTAAAAAAATAATATATATAACAAAGTATGTAAAAAATTTGTATAACAAAGTATATATATGTATAAAAGTATTCGTTTTGCAAATTAGATAGATAAAAATCCCCGCTCTAAGTCGTTTATATATGCCTATTTTACTTCTAAACGGCAATATTGTTGTGTTACAACGATGGCAACATTAGAAAGTTACAGAATGGATGTATATTAGATGGATGATTAGAAAATCTAGTTCATTTATGCCCTGCTACCGGGAATATAATTTAAAAAAGAATAATGATAATAAACTATAATAATAACACAAATAATAGATAAACTATATGCAACCAGTTATGCCAAACCGTATCAGAGTTTGTGCACTTTGGACTTCGTTATCCCGGGTTATTTACAAATCTCTTTCGGTGCACACAACACTAAGTCGGCACTTCGATTAGCACTTGATCTGCAATAAACTCACCTTTTTTTTATTAGATTTTCACGCTAAGGAACACAGAGTACCACGCTGAAATGACCCACCAATGCTCTAAGCTCCGACAAAAATTTTCTTCTTTATTCCGTCCTATTCAGGAACACAGTATCACAATTTCCAATGTATTTTGCAAATCTCCTATTTGTTTGCGATCTTATTTCTTGAATTTTTCCTTGAAATTTAGTCTGGTTAATCACTAAGCACATTCAATCTTTTATTAAGCTTAAAAATTCGATGCTATTTACTTTTTGAGAGATATATAAGAATCAAAATGCGTAATCTCAAACCCGGAACCTGCCGACTGTCAGTCAGCCACGGAACCACACGCGTTACCCCGATAATGGTTTTATTCTATCTAAAGATGGCGGAAAGCGACGCGCAATCGAGCGACGCGGACGCCACCTGTCATTTGCGTCGATTCAGGATTACAGTGGAACGATAGAACGAAGTATGTAGAACGAATGAAGCGAGAGATGGATCTCTCTCTCCCTCTTTCTATTCTTTTTTCTTTTCTCATCTTGACCTGCTGAGGTATTCAACCGCCACCTCTTTGTATGTTCAGCTTATTCGATTCCATCACGGAATGAAGATGATATCATTCCCGAAAGAAGTTTTATGTATAAATGATACTTTTTTAGACGTGTCTTATCAAATAGATTTAGATCTTTTCCAATTGGAGATATATATTAGAAAAGATTTATTACAGTTTAAACAAATACATACATGATTACTTTGAGATATAAATAGAAAGTTTATCAAAAGATTTGTCTTTTTTTTTTATTAATGTAAACTGCAAAACTGAATTTTTTATCAATTCAAGAAATAGAAGATGAATAAAATATATTTGTCGAAATAAATTAAATGCAGTGAATAGCATTTAATGACAAATAATTTTTGTGATAATAACATTTAAATTATACATATATATTGTTAAGAGAGTTTGTGCTTAATATATAATATGTATATCTTTTTATACGTGTGGCTATATACATATTAATGATGGTATGGATTTTTTTGTATAGTGTGTACATGACATTATTATATTTTTTAGAAAATAATGAGATAAAATCTTTAACGTGTTTATAATGAAAAGATTCTTTAAGATAATATATAGATCTCTTACCAATCAATTATGAATTTAAAGTACTTATATTTGAAAAATTAACTGATTTTTTAGAGCATTTTTATAGAAACAAAATTATTCTCTAATGGTAACCTTTCTTTATCACAATAAATATATTGCAATTATTAGCGTTTTTGTTTTAATTAAATTACGATGAAAATTTTATAATTTATAATTTTTTGTTCAGAATTTTACGTGCATTTAAAAATTAATTATTTTTTGCATAACATTTAATATTTGTACATCATTAATATTTGTACATCATCACAATGTTCTCAATATGTCAATACAGAAAATGATATTTATTTTTAATAATATAAAATATATGCAAAATAGATTAACTCTCTTTGAGTTAATTTACTAATAATTGTCTTATCGGTTTATCAGTTTATCGCATTACATCAGAGAAATGTTATACAGGAGAACAAAAAAGTCACTTATCAAAAAATACAAGCTAAAAGGAGATAAGCGAATAAATGCATTCTCTTTATCATGAAATCGTAGAAGTGAGCGTGCTCACAAATGCATACGTGTATGTACACGTGTTTATTTTAAACCATATGCGGCTAATGATGCGCCTGCAGCTCGCAACCCGATAAACAAGTGGCGTGTTAGGTAAGAGGAATCAGGTGCAGAAATAGAACGTGGATGTAAGAAGCGAAAGAAGACAGGTATAGATTTGTCAGAAACGCAACGACATCTCTTTCACGTGCGGAACGGATATTATCGTTTACGATCGAGCCTTTCCATCGAGGAACAATCACCACGCGCGCAACTCGAAAGCAATCGGCGCGATCGACAGCAATTTTTTAATGGATTCGCGGGTATTTGTCCGGTCGCGCGCGCGACTCGAAAATTCCTGATCGAACCCGGCGAGTAAATCGTGCCGGGCGGATGGCCAGAATGCGCGCAAAATAACAGACACTGGAGAGCAAAGTAAAATATACTGGCCGTTTGGCGGGACCACCATTCGTTATCGGCTGCGCCCACGCCGATTAATTTTCGGATGCGTGATGGCGGTAGCGTTTCTTCCGTTTCGAACGGTGATGATACATTTTATGTCTGCGCTGATATTGAGCGGATAACTGAAAAAAGTGGAAAATTTTCCTTTGAAATATACGGCAGCCAGCCAGTGAAATACAGCCGCGAAACGTGCGATAAATCCGTGCGGATTCGTCGCCGTAATTAATGATAAATATCATCGATTAAATTGTTTTATAAACAAATTCGGTTTAAATGTGTTGGATGAAATGCGTATTTTTAATTATTACACAGACATTGATGATCGATGCGCATCAGTGTTTTATATACGATTCTGTTTTTGTCGCTTTTGCGTTAAAATATATGTATCGTATATTGCTTTCAAAGCTTATAAAATATTGTAAAACTAACATTTTATTCGAACAATTCAACAAATGCAGAGAGAAGATAATAGATTTGAATTTTATGTTTGATTGGCAACACATTCGATAACAATAGCATGCTTATATTGGCCTGCTTCGTAAAATATGATTTGTAATTATGAGAAGCAACGGTAATCCGTGCGGTGGTAAACGTTAGACAAATATTTATCATAAAGATGTTCTTTCAATCGGTGATAAACTAGCGAGTTTGACGCCTATCGCACGCAAAAACTTCTCCTTTTCTCACCCCTTTATACGCATGTATATTTTTGTCAAATGGAAAAATATTTGATCAAAAAGACTTTGTAACGGACAAAATTACATAGCTGTTAACGAATGAAATATCACCGAGTGGAGAGAAAGGCACTTTCTGATTTATGAACAGTCTTATTTGAGAGAGTAAAATTTGGTGCGAGACTTTGATAAGTGTCATCGATAATATGCTAATAATGATTTGTAGTAATGGGGACTTGAGTATTAATCTACGTAAACGCCATAAAGTCGATCCGCGTTAGAAATTTAAAGTGTTGAAACATTGTTAGTGAGAAATACCATGGCATTTGTCATGCCGAATTGGAATAAATCGTTAATCATTGATGTACGATGCCATCCGTGCATCTTGAACTCTTGCAAAAATAAATAAGTGAATCTTTTCGCAACTTACATACATACATTACATACATTACAATTACATCATCCCAAGTTTTTTAGATTTTTATTTTCTTTTATATTTGCTTTCTTATTTTATTCTTTTGTATATTATATAGATATTTTTATCCATTTTGTTGTTTTTCTTAAACATTTGTGTCTAATTTATATTAAGAATTAATTATTTTTGTATATCACACACAATACTGTTAATAAAAAACGAGACAGCATATGTACATAAAAATAAATATATCTAGGAACAATTTTATTTTTTACATGATTACACCATAAAAAAGTTGAATTTAATACGAGAATAAGGAAAGAATACAAATTTTCTTTGAAAAATATACAAATAAATTACGGGAATATTAATATATACATATTTGTTCTGCTGGACAGCGTATTCGGCATATAAATTTATTATATAAAAGAAAGAATTACGCAGAATGTTAAACAAAAGAAACCTTGCTTTTGTCTCGCAAAAGTACTTTGTGTAAATAAAATATATTGTATAGATAAACACTCTTCTACGATAATTCTCTCCCCTTCTCTCCCCCTCTCCCCCTTTCTCTCTCGCCATCTCTCTCTCTCCCCCCCCTCTCTCTCGCCATCTCTCTCTCATGCACATAACGCACGCACACATACAGAAAGAGAAATATGGATCTTTAAAGTAACACCTGCTGCCATATCAATACGATTAATGATTCAAATTGTATCAATTTAATTTAAATATTACTCTTACACACACACACACACACACACATTTTCTCTCTCCCTCTCTCTCTTTCTCTCTCTCACACACACACATACATAGAAAAGAAAAGTATTTTTATACAAACGGTCTATTTATAGTTATACCATTCCACTGCAACATTTTGTCGTAAGTTCTATTTATTTATGAGCCTAAGAGGGAAAAGGGGAGAGAGAACGTTTTATTTCACGCTTCTTCATATTGCGCACATTACTCTTTTCTTTCAGATTGGCAAAATTACGCTTGACTTATTTTAAATTCGATATGATGACACAAAGAGCAAAATCATCGTTTATTATCGTGCGTTTTACCATTTGCATATTTTTCACCATTTTTCGAGAATAATTTGATAATAATATTATCAAAAAAATATGATAACCAAAGTACTTATATATCGTTTTGTATAATATTTTACTATTGTACCATACGCACGATACTATGTTGCATGTCATTTCAATGCATTTTAAAAATTAATATAAGACAAACATAAAATCTGAAAAAAGCAAGTAACACATACGCTTATAAGTTCTAATAAATTATTACATAATGCAATAACTTGTTTGTACTATGGAATCTCGTAAAGGAGAACAAATTATTTCAAATTAATCAGTCATCTATTGCATAATAATAAGTGTATGCATAGGGAATATGAAGCGGTTAAGAATAAAATAGAAAATACGGAGAATCGATTATCCGTTTATTGAACCAAAAGAGAAATGAGAGAGAGAGAGAGAGAAATGAAAGAGAGAGAGAGAGAGAGGATATCCTAATTAAATTAATGCAATCCGAATCATCAATCGCATTGATATAGTAGCAAGAGTTACTTTAAACTTGATATAATAGCAATCACTTGAAATTCTTCGAAGCATTTTTTTCCCACAAATGAGATATTTTCTGCCACAATGTCGACATTTCTCGAATGCTGTAACATTCTTTGCCTTGCGGCAAACTGACCAAGTTGGCATTACCGGGTGATAGATGTCTGCTCAACGGTATATGTCTCTCCACCTACGCGGAGCGCGTTGCTGAGACGGGCGTTTATGTCTGCATAAATTCTCATTTGAGTTCCGATAATAAAGTTTTCTTTTTCGATAAATTAAATACGAAGGTGGAGATGCACGCTCGTATAACGTTAAATTAAAAATTAAAATTGAAAATTATGTTTTAATAACAACAGGAAATTGTTTCACGAAAGAAACATGACGGGATTTTATAAATATGTTTATTAGTAAAGAATGTGTGCTATTACTTAAAAATTGAATAATATTTTTAATTGATTGAAACATCTATTCTTTATTTATAAAATGTTGAAAGCGAAGCTCAGGGCACATCGATACTCATCAACCTTGTGAGAAACAATAGAGAAAACAGACAATTGAAAATTAGCACGGATGAGCCTCATCGATGGAAAGAGCTAGGCATATATAATATTATATATGACATATTACGC